AAATAAAAGAAGATTGAAGGCAGCGCATCAACAAAAGAGATAACTTTTGGAACTGGAAAGTAAAATAAAATTAGCGGTTCGTAACATGCGCTGCTCTTGGTCACTTTCAGTGCGTTTTTATAAAGTTCACCGCCACATTCTAGCCTTCATTATAAGTCGTCTCCCTGCTTGTTTCCTGGCGAGAATTGCAGTGAAGCAAGTGGTGGGGTAAGAGTAAGAAAAATGGATGAGGATCATTTGGAAGTTAGAAACAGGAAGGGGCGGCAAAAACGGACTTTTCTCAGCCTAGAGGGTGGAAGAAGAGAGGTATCTAACCAGTTAAAAATGACTTTGAAAAAAAAGTTTCTCCACTGGCACTTACGGTGCCTGCACAGTGCTATAAAACATGTATTTTGTCCAAAGTAGTTGGTGGGAAATGCAAATTTTCATTCATTATCTTTCAATTAATGACAGCTTTTCATAGCTGTTCGGTTCGTAGATCGAGAAACGATATGTGGGATTGAGCAGAACTCCTAAATGATGTACTTTTGATACAGAAATGCGCCTTCTGATCTGCTTCTGACCATTTATGAAGTTAGAAAATTAACAGAATAAGCTGGTTTTTGAAAAGATTTTACAGGAAATGGTTTGCAATCAGAAATTACTTTTTTTATTGATGCGTTGTCTAATTATTTTTTGGAATACATACAGATAGCAGGTAATAAAAGTTATTTTAAAAAGAGTTGGTGTAAGGAAGTGGTAATTTTTTCAAAAGGAAAGTGACTTAAAGTTTTTATTGAAACTTGTTATGTGACCTTGTTGAAAAGTGTAGCTAGTAAGGAAGCAAATAGCTTTTAGCGCACCATCAACTAACTAAATTGTTTGCAGCAAGCAGTTGCTCTTAAAAAGCACTTTATTCTGTTAATGATAAGAACTGGTTGAACAGTCTTTAAAACGGCAAAAAGATGTCTTGCTGTTACACTTTGTCATCTTGTCATCTTACTTAACGGTACAGTTTAATCGTTAACTAGTTAAATGTCTATAAATGCTCTTGTACCTATTAATTAAGCGGCTATCATTATTTTTTGTAGCAACCAAGATGGGTTTTTTAATAAAATAAATTTAAGATAGCCTCAAATATAACAGTAGAGGTTTATTAAAACTAAGCTACAATTTTTGGTAAGGAAATATCTACTTTTCCTTCGAGTGTCGCTTACGATGCTGTTTGATTGTTTATGAATGGTGCAAATAGGACTTTGATATTCAACAAGTTTTTCAAAGGTTATTGTGTAAAGAGTATTCGGAAGCTACAAAAATGTATCAAAAATTTTTCTTTTTTCAAAGATTGGAGTCTGAAATCATTGCTTGCAGTTTTCATAGACCGGAAGTTAGCTTGTTACTGTCTTTTTCAGTGAATCTATTGAAACTTCTGTAACTTGCGAAGAGTGTCATTGTGTTTTTGACTGTACTGGACCGTAGTGAACACTCGATTCATCAATGGTAAAAAAATCTCTTACATTTTACTATGACTATAGCAAACATTTCTTCTTTCGGTGCTATAATACGGGACAATTTCACGTATCGTGCTGGTTTTTTGTGTACTTTTGTTTAATGATAACGGCAAAATTACTTCAGCAAATAATCAGTAGTCACTAGAGTTTAACAACAGTGACGCTTTGACGCTCTGCCTATGCAGTGTATGATTAGATTCTTGAGGGTAGTATGTGTAATAGATCTTTTTTCCAACGTGTTTTTTAGTCTGCTGAAATAGGCTATTGTAAATTTGGAATTAACCTTAAAAAAAAGTTACGTATCTGTGAATGTTTTTCGCGGCAACTTTCGCGGTAGTGGCTTTTGGTTAGTGGAAGAATCGTGGGGTTTTTATGGTATTTCGTCGTTGCAGCTTACAGTTGCTATTCACTTCTAGCTTGTTCCAGTAATCATTTGAAAAACATTGGTTAGTAAATTTCTTATAAAATCTGTTGAAGAGATTTTCGTACAAAAAGTTGAATATGAAGTGAACACGAAAAAAAAAA